CTTCTGTCTTTCCCTTCTTCTGTCTTTCCCTTCTTCTGTCTTTCCCTTCCTCTCTCTTTCCCTTCTTCTCTCTTTCCCTTCTTCTCTCTTTCTCTCCTCATCTCCTTGTCCATCTCATCATCCCTCTCCTCCCCCCTCTCCTTCTCCCTCTCTCCCCCACTAACATGTCCCCACCGGCCCCGTAATGGTCTCTGTAGTTTCGCCAAGGCCGTCGGCTGTGATGTCACCGACACGGCCTGCTTCTATGCGCTTGACATGGAGGAGGCCCTCGCCGGGCAGGTGGCCGCCATGAAGCACCTACCTCTGGACTATCCCCTGTCGGCCTTCATGCCGCTGCTGCCGACCGTCGACGGGGTGGACCTGCCGGACCAGCCATACAACGTGGTGATGGCCGGTCGTCACCACCCGGTGCCGGTCATCATGGGCACCACCGCCGATGAGGTGAAGCTGTACATCCACATGGCCTGGCCGAACCCCGTGTCGGCGGCCGAGTACCGGGCCGCCATGCGCGTGCTCTTCAAGGGCAACGCCACCGAGGTCCTGGCTGAGTATCCCCCGGTGTCCGGGGACAACCGCTCGGTCATGTCGGTTGTCGGCACGCATTATGTGTTCAGCTGCCCGCAGCGGAAGTTCTCCCGTGGTCTGGCGGCCGCCGGCCTGGCTGGGCCGAACTCCGTCTTCCACTACATCCACGACCAGGCCTGGAGCTTCCCCGGCTGGGAGCCGAACTTCTCCTTCTGCAATGGCGCCTCCTGCCATGGTGTGGATCTGCCGTACTACTTCAACACGGCCACCTTGATGTTTGACGTGACGGCCCCGGAGCAGCAGCTCTTCCGCCACATCGCCGGGTATTTCGGCAACTTCGTCCACACCGGCAACCCCAACAATGGTGGCGGCCGTGGTGGCTCCTCCCCCTCTTCGCCGGCTACCGCCTGGCCCGGTCACTCCCAGACGTCGGATCGCTATGTTGTCTTCACCGCTCCCACGCCGTACTCCCTGAGTGGCTATCTGCAGCATGAGTGCGACTTCTTCGATGGCATCGGCTATGATCCCGAGCGTGTGTCCCGCGTGGCCAACTACCTGCTGTCCGGCATCCGTGCTTAGGGGTGGTCATAGCCGGCCCTTTCTTCCCTCCTGCCGCTTGCCTTCTCGTTCGGCCCCCTCCGCTCCCTCCCCCCTCCGATGGTAAGGGATGCGAGGTGATGGCTCGGCCGCGTGCGCCTGCATGCACCCGGCATAGCTTCTCCTTTGCCCGCCCCCCCCCCCTTCCCTTGTTCCCATCCCTGCTCGCTCTCGGTTGGCGGCCTTCCCAATGCATGGATGCTATCCCCGTGGATTTCCCCGCCTCTGGGCCAATGTTTCATTCGCGCTATGTGCCATGTCCCATGTGCGGGTGTCTATTTCGCATGGCACGCCGGCGACCTTCCGCGGTCCCTAGCCAAGGACCACGTAGTTCCGGTAGACAAGTTGCCGGACCTTGAAGTACAGCGGGCTGAGCGGCCCCTGCATGGAAAGGGCCCCGGTGGTGGGATTCTGCCCGAAGATGGGAGGAGGAGCAAAGCGGGTGCGGGAGAGAGGATCACAAGGGGGAGTAGCGGGAGGAGTGGGCCGTCAGTGGGATCAGGCAAGCAAGGGAGGGGGAAGCCGGCTTCACCAGCGGGGCTCGCCCGAGGCGGGGGAGAGGGACCCCAAGGAAAAAGGGGGCAGCAAAAAAGGGCGACTTTCTGCGCGAAAACCAGCCACGAACCCGAGAGATGGTGATCTTGCGCCCGGACGTGGCGGCACGGCACACCAGCACACCGGCCTCCAGCCGTGAGCGAATGCCGATCTCGCTCTCCAGCAGGACGCGCAGCTCGGCCATGCGCACATCGCCCACACTGAGCACATGCCGCGAGGTGCTGGCCAGGGCCAGGCCCGGACGGTCGCCGGCCGGCACATGGGCGCCGGCGTCGGTCCCGGTCGCGCGTTTGGCCGCCTGCGCATTGACCGTCTCGACCAGCGGCTCCAGGTGCAGGAAGCCCCCGCGGTTGACCTGTGCCCGAACCAGGCTGAACTCGCAGTTGTCGAACTGGACGCACGCAGCCGAACCACGCGGGCCACGCACACACCGGCGAAAGGGGGGGGGGGGGGGGGCGGGGGCGGAGTGGCGGGCAGTAAGTACCGGGAGAGGGGGGGGGGCAAGCAGCGTTCCGGTGTGCCATGCGACCGGGAGGCGCGACACAAGGGGAGAGAGGAGGAGGCGCAGCACGAGGGGAGATCGACGCACGGTCTTCGGGCTGAGGCTCCGAACCAGGCGGTCCGAGAAGGAGACTGTCACCACCCGGGTAGTGGACGACACGTCGATCAGGTCCAGGCCCAGGTGCAGCAGCGGGTCGCTGAGGGCGACGAAGGGGGTGTCCGTGGTCGGAGGCCGGCGGGCCGCCTCGATAGCCTGCTGCACGCTCGGGTCGGCCAGCCGGGCCGCCGGTAGGATGAACTGCACTTGCGGGTGCTCCTCCTCCAGCTGCAGTTGCAGCCAGCGCGACTTGGGAATGATACCGTTGATGAAAATCTGCGGCCCAACAGCAGGCAATGGCCATGGTGTAAGTTGCGGGCGGCGAGAAACAGGCGCCAAGGTGGCACAAGGGCGGGGCAAATGCCTTGGCCAGGCAGGGAGGGCAACGGAGGAGCAAGCGCCCATGTACGCACCATGCGCTGGGCGTCAACAGACTCCAGCAGCTGAACCACCGACTGGCCATCGGCCAAGCCCTCCACGTCGACATAGCTGACGAAGGCTGCCACGTGGACTTGTGTTGAGGAGGTGACGACCTTGGTTTCCATGCGCTCGGCGCGCAGGCGCTGGAATTCTTGCTTCCGCCGGAGTGCCTCGCGGTTGGCATCCATCTGCCGCGAGAGTGCCCCGTCACCGCCACCACCACCACCCCCCCCGGTCGGTCCATTGAGAGTGAGATACATTTCAGCGGTGGAGGAGGAGCAGAAGGACACAGGGACACGGCGAGATTGTGTGTGCGTGTGTGTGTGTGTGTGTGCGTGTGTGTGAAGGGAAGAGGAGGGGGGGAGAAAGGCCGGAAGCGAGTACTTAACGCACCAGCATGCGATCGCCGACCGCCCCGTCGATGGTGATGTGGGCCACAGCACGCCGGTAGTCCGATGGCCGGATGGGCTCGCCATACATGTCGCTTGTGCTGGAGGCGGCTCCGGCGGCGGAGGATCCACCGCCGCCGGTGCCCGCCGCGCCGCCGCCCCCGCCAAAAGCACCGCCCGATCCGGAGGCTGTGGCTCGACCGCCGGTCCAACGCCCGGCGCGCGTGCGCCCGGTGCCGCCACCCACCGCACGTTGGCCGGCGGCCGCCAGCGGATCGCGCCAGCGCCGCTGCTGGCGCCCCAACTGCCGGGTGTCCATCGGGAACATGAGCGGGCCCTGGCGCCGGGCCGGCCGAAGGGCCAAGCCCACGAGCGATGCGGCGCCCCCCTGTGCCAGAGGATCGGTCGCGGCATCGCCACCAGCCGGCAGGGCCACCGCCACTCCGGCATGGCGCATGGAGTCCACCACCGATCGGGCAATTTGAGCAAAGGCTTCCGGGGCCAGGGCCCCGCCGGCCGGCCCGGCCAGCGCCCGGCATGCTGTCAGGGAGGCCGCGGCGGCGGCGATCGACCGGGCCCGACGGAAGCGCGATGCCAGCATCAGGTCGTACGTGAAGCCGCCATCCACATCATCGTCATCGTCATCCTCGTCGCCAGCCCCGGGGCCAGAGCCATGGGTCGAGTCGCCCACAGCGTCGAGGCCTTCCCCGCCGGGGCCCTCGGCGCCGGGTCCGCCGCCAGGGCCCTCATCCAGGAGGTCGTCCTCGTCGTCCTCCTCGTCGTCGGAAAAGTCGTCCTCCGATTCGGGCAAGCCACCCGGCGGCGCGGCGCCAGGAACACCCGGCCCACCGGCCGCCGGGTCGCCCTCATCACCCGGGGCCCCGCCGGGTGCCTTGCCAGGCCGATCGGCCGCCTGGGCACGTGCGCGTCGCCGCCGAGCCTGGCGCTTGGCCTCGGTCAGCTCGCTGCCTTGCAGGGCCTCCCGGTGTGCCAGAGTCAGTGTCACATCGGGCGGGGTGGGAAGCTGTGCCAGGGGGACAATCGCCGGCAAGAAGGTCGGCTGCCCGGTGGGGCCGGAGCCCGACGCGGCGGCCGGCCGGCCGGACATCGCATCAAAGAGAAAGCGGCTCAGAGTCCCGCGGCAGGCGCGCTGCGTGAGCAGCACACTGTTACGCGAATCGCCCGACCACATGGAGAACAGGTGCCGAGCTGTGTGTGTGTGTGTGTGTGTGTGTGTGTGCGCGTGTGCGAGCATCGGGCCGAAGGGGGTCCAGGGGCATCGGCGATGGAAAGGAAGGGGAGGGCAGGGGGAACAAAGGAGGGTCAGTTTGCGTCCAAGGGCCCGGGCCATGCACTTGGCCAGCAGGCCGCACAAAAGCAGGCGCGAGGCGATGGGCATGTCCCACGTACAGGGGCCACACTCGATGCTGGCCGGCCCGGTGAGCACGACACACGGCTCGGTGCCGAACTTCTCGAAGAACTCCTCCACCGAGTGGCAAAAGCGCACATACTGCAGCATGCTCTCGGCGTCCTCGGCCAGGGCACGATCACGAAGCTGGTGCGATGGGCCGGACGCCTTGGCGCCAAGGCCGGCGGCAGCGGCCGCGCCCGGGCCCTGGATCAGTCGCTGGATGAGATCATCGTCGCTGACCCATTCGTTCATGGTCCGTAGCAGACGGAAAATGTGCTCCGCATGGGGGGTGAGCAGGACCGGCCGGAAGCCGCGCTTGTTGAGCTCGGTCGACTCGTCCTCCCAAATCTGGCGGTCGGGTTAGCATCGATGCGTATGCACGAGTGAGGGAGGCCAATCGCAGGAGGCGAGAGAGAGAGAGAGAGAGAGGGAGAGGCAGGGCTTTTGAGGGAGGACGTACGCTCTCCAGGAAAAGGGCCAGTTCGATGACACGACCGGTCGAGTCGCATGGCATCAGGACATTGCCTCCGCGGTCAAGCGTCTGGGCGATCGATTCTACACACCGCCGAGGGGCAAGGGGCGGGAGGTCAGTGCGACTGGGCCATAGCAGGTGCAGGCAGGGGCACTTTCAGAGCCGAGTGGGAGAGGGGCGCAAAAGGGGGACGCACTGAGCAGGGCATCATTCCGATCGGACAGTTTCAGCGGCAGCGTGTCCATCCGGTGCGAGCCGGTGATGACCAGTCCTGGCTTCGGGCAGATGGACGTCAGGTCCGCGTGCGAGAGGTGGCTGCGTCGCGAGTTGAGCGTGTGACCAGCCGGAGGGGTGGGGGGGGGGGGGTTGTCAGACAACCAGAGTCACGGGCATGAGGAGCCGCCGCGAGGGGAAAGGGAAAGCGGAGGAAGAAAAGGAGGAGGAAGGCTCCACGGAGGCGTACAGCTCGCGGCGATTGTTGATGTTGATGGCGTAGATGATGGCATCGGTATTCTTGCGGATCAGCCAGATGGCCCCACCGAGGCTGTGCCCCGACGGGAAGGGGGTCACCGTGATGCCCTTGGCCTTGGGATCTAAAGGGAAAAACGGCAGCGGCAGCGGCAGCGGCAGCGGCGGCGAAGGAGGCGGCGAAGGAGGCGGCGCAGGCGAGTTTATGTGAGCACATGCAGCAGGGGGAGAAAGCTCGCCACAGATGCAGGAGGCCCCCCCCCCCCCCCCAGGGGAGCCAGCTGACTGCGTACCATCGATCAGGTGCGTCTGGCAGTAGCTCAGCGACCGCCACAGGTTCGGCTGGAAGGTCGAATCGACGTGGCGTTCATCGAACAGATTAAAGTCCGACGCGCCCAGGGCATTCTCCAGTGCGGCGGACATGGCGATCTTTGGTGGTGATGGGGGCAGAATGCCCGAGCAGTCAGTCACACAAGCTGCAGGGAGCGAGCAAGGCCGCGAGGGGCGCAAACATGCATACCTTGCCCATGGCCACGACAGGCAGCGTGGCAAACAGTCGAACACCTTCCGGCAGGCCGAGCGACCGGCGCGCGTACGGCAATGCCCCGAGGTACGCCACGTCCGAGTGGGAGATGATCACCGCGTCGACATCTTTGGCGACTCTGTGGGCATGTTTGTGTGCATGTGCGTTGGCGAGTGGGGGAAGGCGGGAGGAGGAAGGGAGAAGGGGGGGGGGAGCAAAGAGAGGATCAAACACCAAGAGGGAGTGTGTTCCGCAAGAGGCAGCACCAGGGGAGCACCACAAGGTGAGAGGTCAGCATTTGGCAGGGGCCCATGGCAGGCGTGTGGTCGAGGAGATCGACGGGCCGGGGGCCGTGCGCACCGGGCGAGACCCGACAGGGCCACCGGATCGAAGGCATCCGTCCAGCCGCAGTCCAACAAAATCCGGTATCCATCAATGTCGAGGAGGAAGCACACCGGCCCGGCGTCGCCATCGAAGGCAACTGTCCCGCCTGGCGCCTGGAAGCTGGCCACCGAAGACAAGGTGTCCCCCGGGTGCGGCTGCGGCGCATCCGGGTCGGCCTTGATTTGGCCATCAGCCCCGACCAGCGGGCCCGATCCCAGCCCACTGCCCAGGAGGGCAGTGAACCGGATCCTCGACGAGGTGAGGGACATGCGCGTGGGCGAGTCACACGCGTGGAGGGGGTGTTGTGGCGTGCCCGAGCGGCGAACCGGGCGCGAAGTGTAAGGGTGCAGGGAACAAAGGCCAGGGGGGGTGGGGAGGCAAATGACAGGGAGATGGAAAGAAGAGGAGGGGTGCAGCCGGGCACAGGACCAGGCCCGGTCCAAGGCCGCTCTCAAGTCCCGCCATTGTACGCCGGCTCGGATGGCCGCGCCCGGCAGGCGAAAGGCCAGCCACCCGGCGGTTCCACCTCCCCATCGAAATACAGACCTCTCACCATAGACACCAACATGGCTTTTCGTGCGTCCGTTCTTGCCCCCTCTCCCCCCCCCCCCTCTTTCTCTCCCCGGGCGGGGGGCTGCCCCGCCCAGAGAAGACGGTTCGCCCCTGCACCCGGTGCCCGCCTAGTCGCCCTACTCTACAAGGGGTGTGGCCTGCCCCGAGGTAGGGGGCTGTGTCCTCTCCCCGCCCGGCCCTGGGATCGCGCGGCTGAGCGGACCACAGCTACCAACCTAGCGCTCCTAGTGCCAGCGCATCGTCGCATCTGCGTGGGCATCTGTAATGTATGTATTGGAACACGAGCAGAGGGGCACGCATGCCCCGGCCCTCTCTTGCAAGGGTGCTGGGCAGAGGGGGGAGGGGGGGGGTGCTGCCCCTCACCCCCCCCCCCCCCCAGCTCAAGGGCGCCGGGCCGGCCGTTTCTCTCCACGGGCGGCAATATTCCCCTGACGCCGGAGGGAGACACATCTACGAAGAAGAGTGGCCCAGGGCCAGCTCGATGCGCCGAAGGGTGGACTTGATGGAGCGCTTGAGAATGGACGCCTTGGGCTTGGGAGGGGGAGCCGCGGCCCCCGGGGTGACCAGCTCGACGGTCGAGGAGGTCGAAGCCGGACCGGCCAGGTCCCGGCACTGGCCGGATTCCAGGAGGATGGTCCAGCTCCGGTACTCCAGCTGCGAGGTGATGGAGTCGCCGGAGGCCGCAATCAGGCCGGACACATCCGGCCGCAGGGGCACATCCACCAAGCTCCGAGCCCCATGGGCACCGGTCAGGCCGGGGAACACCAGCGCCGAGGAGGAGCTGGCCAGGTGTGAAAGGGGGAAGAGGACCACATCGCCGGCGACCATGGCCGCCAGCTGGGCCGCCAAGCGAAGCTCATACTTGGCCTGCTTGGTTCGAAGCAGGGCCGCCGGGGCGGCGGCCATGCGCTGCTTGTGCCGAGCCGCCACCGGGGCGCCTGCAGCGCCCGCGGCCCCGGCCGCATGCGGGAACATGGTGGAGTAGAAGGGCTCGCTCGAAAGCAGGGTCGGCAGCTGGGCCGCCGACCGGGCATGGACACTCAGCAACCGGGTAACCGGCTGCCCGGCCTCGGTCAACAGCCGCCAGCAGACCCCCTCCACTGCGACGGTCCGGAGGCCGGCCGGCGCCGGGACCAGGGCCCGAGCATGGTCGGCGCTCTCCTGCAGGAGCTCCCGCTCACGGCGATGCGCTTCCCGAAGGACCGAATAGATGCCCACCGGCAGGGCCACAGCCCGGCGCAGGGACTCGACGATGGACACCGAGGGTGGCTCGACCAGGAGCTGATCCGCCTCCAGGGCATCGGTGGCCTGGCCACGGCCGGCCGGCCAGGAGGCCCCGTCTCCCGGCCGACAGGAGGTGCACTGGTCGGCATCGGCCTCCGGGGTCCCGGAGGCCGGGGCCGTCATCCGGGCGAAGGCCAACAAATCGCAGAAGCAGTGCCCCTGTGCCTGGAGGAATTGGCAATGCCGCAGGAGGAAGGCATCCGGCAGGAGACGCAACACCGGCATGGACAGGACACCATGGCTGAGGGCCGTGGCGGCGGCCAGCGACGCCCAGGCATTGAGGTCCGTGTCATCGGGCCCGGATGACGGACCGGAGCCCACATCGGCCGACCCATGTGCCAGGAGCTGGTTCACCACCAGGCCGATGCGCTCGATGGCTCGGCGCCGGTCGCGTGCGGTATTCCGTCCAAGGACCGCCGCCGCGGCCACCATGGAGAGGGTATTCAGGTGGACGAACAACAAGTGCAGGTTTGACTGGTTTGACGGGCGCACCGGGAACTGGAACAGAAGGAAAGGGATGCGCGCGCACGTGTGTGTGTGTGTGTGTGTGGATGCGTTGATATGCACGTATGCACGTATGCACAGGGACAAGGGAAGAAGAGAAGGAGAGACAGAGTCAGCCGAAAGCCCCAGACCCAGTCAAGACACCAGGATGATGCAATGAAGCCGAGAGGAAGGAAACAGCGGGAAGAGAGTACGCACGCGACGGACAAAAGCCGGGCCCGGGCTGCCAGCGGTGGCAGTAGCCGGGGCACCGACGGCCAGCAGATTGTTAACGGACATGGAGGCCAGCAGGCCGCTGATGTCCGAGAGCTCGGCGGCGGTGACCCGCGCCAGCAGGGGCGCCAGTTGCCCGGCCAACGCCCGGCAGATGGGCCCCAGGTCCGCACAAAGCAGCCATTCGGCAATGGACTCCGAGGGGCCGGCCGGGCGGGAGGACTTGGCACTGGTGGCGGCCGAGATGGAGGCGGTGCCGTCCGTCAGCAAGCCCGCCAGCGAGGGCCACACGGCTGACAGGGCCACCGTGCGCAGGAGCCCCGGGTCTACCTGACCCGGGTCCACGCCATACAGGCAGCGGGCCACCTGGCGCCTGGAGGCGAACCCGGAAGCCAGATGCCGGTGCTGGTGGGCGAAGCGCGCCTGGAAACGCGGGTCCGACAGGAAGGCCGCCAGCGAAGATTGGGCATGGCGCTCGGCCGCATCGGCCGGCAGGGCCAGCACCCGCGGCGGGGCCGAGCCAATCCGCCGGGCCCCGGTGTCCGGGCACACCTGCACATCCAGCGGCGCCAGGCCGAATGCCCGACACAGAAGCTGCAAGGCCTCCACATCGGAGGCCAGGTCGTGGTCCCCGCGCGAGGAGAGCCACGCCACCAGCAGGGCCACGGTGCGCGCACGCCCCGGGCGAACCACCCCCTGCAAGAAGGCCTCCCGCTCCTCGGCCGAGGAGATGGAGGCCGTCGTGCCGGGGCCCCGGAGCGACCCGGTGGCGTCGGCCTCCAGGAGGTCCAGCCCGCCGGGGATGCTGGCCGATTGCCAGCCGCCAGGCGGCCCGGCATACCGCTCGGCCAGCAGCCGAGACACATCGCGCCCGGTGGCCAACAGGTGCAGGCTGGACACAAATCCCCGGCGGAAGGACACCGACGAGGCAGCAGGCAGGGCGCTGGTCGCGTAAAAGACCAGGGCGTTCAGGGAGTTCACCCGCTCGGGGAGGTTGTCACGCGATGACAGGGCCAGCCGGCCGGTCTCCAGCCAGATGGGTGACGGCTCGGGGGCGATCTCCACCGGGCTGGCCGGCATCTCGGGCTCGGGCTCGGGCTCGGGCTCGGGCTCGGGCTCAGGGGCCGGGAGTACCGGGGCGGGGATCGCCTTCTTCGGGACCCGGCGCGTTGGTGGGGTGAAAACCACCACATCTGCCTGGAACTGCGAGAATGTGCATGGGCGCGCGCGTGAGTAGACATGGAGGACAAGTGTGTTCAAGCGCCTGGCGGTATCTCACCCTCTCGCTCTCCTCCCCCTCCCCCTCCCCCTCCCCCCCCCTCCCCCTCTCTTGCTCCTGCGTCCGCTCATCTGCCCACTCCGCTGGATACAATGGGCGAGAAGACGTACGGCGGCTGCACGGCGGCGGATTTCATCACTGACACCGGCACGCAGGTGGCTGGCCAAGTTAGCCCGGATGCTGAGCTGCCGAGCGGCCTCGGTGTCGAGGACCTCCTCCTCATCCTCCTCGGCGGGCGCGGGAACAGGGGCCGGGGCCGCCACCGGGGCTGGAGAGACCACCGGCTCCGGCTCCGGCTCCGGCTCCGGGGCCTCCAACACATCAGGAGTGCGCTGGAAGAGCGGCGCCCCGATGGCCCGAGACAGTGACTGCAACGTGGAAGACAGGTGCCCGAAGCAGGAAAGTGTCGGCCCAGACCGATGGGCAACCGAGTCACGGTCAAGACGCTCGGAGCTGGCCCCCTCCTCGAAGAGGGAGGCGAGCTCCGGTTCATCGGCCCCGGCAGTGGCCTCCAGCGGCGCGTCCCGGCCATAGGACTTGGCATCCTCGATCTCGGAGCTGGCCGTCGGGAGCATCTTCTGCACGGCCTCCACCACCGCATCACACAAGGCCGCGGACTTGAAGAGGAGTTCCTCGGGCGAGAGGTCCCGCGTGCCGAGGGCATCCGTCAAGAGGGCCGTGATGTCGGCGGCCTCGGGCCCGGGGGCCGGGCCGTCGGAAATCCCGGCCACCGGGGCCCCGGCCCCGGCGTCCGACGATTCGATCAGGGCATTGATGGCTTGGATCATGGCATTGATGCCGGCCCGGGCGCCAGCCTGGAGGACGCGAATCAGCCGATTGGCCGACTCGGTGGCCAGGCCCAGCAGCAGGTCCGCATGCTCCTGGCGCAGGGTGGCATACTGGCGCAGGGCCGGCAGCGTGACATCAACCAACTCCTGGCACAAGCCCGGCGCCAGGGAGCCGGTGCTCGCGGCCCCCTCACGGGGCATCCACTTTCGCAGCAGAGCCCGCACATGAGCCACGAGAGCCGCGGACTCCGCGCTCAATGGCCCCAGCCAGTCAGGCGCATCGCCCTGCAGGGCGGCCAGGTCGGCCGCCAGGAGATCGCTCTCAGCACGCAGGGCCCGGTACAGGGCCCGCATGGGAGGCCACAGCTGCTGGGCCCCGGTATCGGCATGGCCATTTGCAGGGCCGCCGATCGTGGCGGTGGCCACGGCCGCCATCAGGTCCTGCAGCAGGGTCATCAGTCGCGAGGACCGCCACCGGGCGGACTCCACCCAGTCCGATGCGCAGAGAACCAGATCCGTGGAGGAGAGCACGCGCTTGGGGCCGGGGGACGCGTCTCCCGGGCTGCTGGCCGCTGCTCCGGCGGCCGCCGGGGCCAGCAACCCCTCCAGCATGGGCAGCACCGACTCGATGGCCACATTGCGCACGGCTGACACCACGGCAAAGTTGTCCAGCTCGTCGAGGGCACCGCCGGCGGCGGCACCGGACCCGGCGGAGCCGGCGACCGCGGTGGCCGCCCTGCCAGCGCCCGCGGCCGACGAGGCTCCTGGATCCGAGGAAAGCACCACCGGGGCCGGCAGCGACAGGAGCGACATCTGCGCGTGGATGTTGTCACACGCCTGGTTGATGTTGTCCGAGGCCGAGGCCACCTCCACCATGGCGTCGATGGATTCCGGGGCGCGGGCGCGCGGAGCCACCGCCATGGCCCGGGCCAGGCTCTCCTTGGCGCTCAGGACCCCGGGCACGCGGACACCAGCCAGCAGGCCATCCACGGCCGAAGCCTTGGACCGAGCCTGGTGAATGGCTCGCTCGTAGAAGCGCAGATGGCTCTCCCGGTCGGCCACCAGCCCGGCGGCAGCCGGGGAAGAGTCGCTCTCGCTCGCGAGCCCGGCAGCAGCGAGGACATCACCGCAAGCCGGGCCCAGGCCAGCCGGGTGGCCGTCCGAGGGCCCGCGCCCGGAGTATGTGGCATCCAGCTCGGCCACCAGAGCATCCAGCACCTGGCGCGTGGGCAGGTCATACTTGAGCGAGGGGTGGCCCGAGGCCGCCGACAGGACCGAGTCCGGCGGCGGCGGCGGCGAAGCCCCCGGCTGGGAGGAGGCCAGGTCCGAGTAGCGGCTGGCCATGGCAAAGAGGATGGACGACGATTGGAGGAAGGCCACCGAGGTGCCCATCAGCTGGAACATGAACTCGCTGGCGGTGGCCAGCTCGCTCAGCTGCTCCGGGTCCTGGCACAGGGAGAACAGGTGGTTCAGCCGGTCGGCCAGGCTGTTGTTCACGTCGATCAGCTGGTTGGCCAGGTTCTCCAGGGCCCGGGCGTACGAGGGGCTGACGAAGATCTGCACCGACAAAAATCTGCAACACAGCCGTGCGCAGGAGGGACACAGGGAGATCGGGGGGGGGGGGGAAAGGAGGAAGCGGGGCATTAGATCATGGCGCCATTGGCCACACGGTCAGCCGCCGAGGGGAGGGGGGAGGGGGAGGGAGGGGGCAGGAAGGACGCACTGCAGGCAATCAGCCACCAGAGCCAGGCGCGCGGTGAGGCTGTTGTAGGCGGAGAGGACGGCCGATGCGGCGTCTTCCAGGCTGGCCGCGGCCTCGGTCCCAATGTCGGGCTCGTTGTCATCATCGGCGCTGAGGAGCTCGGCCACCGCGGGCGGAAGCTCGGCCCCGGCGCCAAGGAGCCTGGCCGATTGGCGGACCAGGCGCTGGATGCACCGGCGGAAGGACAGCAGGGCCTGGTGACAGAGGGAGTGTGCCAGCTGCGTGGCGAGGAAGGCGCTGCGGGGTGGACACGGCGCAGGAGGGGAGCGGGTTAGACGCAGGCCGGGGGGGGGGGGGAAGGGAGCAGCAGTGTCTGGAGGCGGGGAGAGGAGCGGGAGGGGCTGGGCGCACCGCTGGACGCCATGGTCGTATGCCTCGGCACAGAGGCAGGCAAGGCGGTCGAAGAGGATGGAGAACCGCTCGAAGAAGCACTCCGGCACGACGGCCCCCTCGGCAAAGGGGGACTCTTGGAAGGGCTGGAAGGTGGCCGCGGTGTCCGCACCACAGGCCGCCATCAGCTCATCGCGCCGGTCCTGAATGCGCCGCAGCGACAGGGCATACCCATCGATGAGCCCCTGGAATGGGTTGAAGGAGCCATCGGGATCGGGGGCCACGCTGGCGGCTGGCAAGCTGGCCTTGAGCGGGTCATCGACGGTGACCATGTCGGCGGAGGCCCGCTCGTCCGATGTCAGGCGCGTCCGCAGCAGGCGGTCCACCATGACCTGGTGCCAGTCGCTCATGAATGTCCAAATTCTACGGTGCAGGTGCGGGGGGGGGGGGGGGGGGGGGGGGGGCAAGGAGAGATCAGTCTGACGCGCGCAAAGGGGGCAGGTCGGCAAGGATCGGCACAGGAAAGGGCTGGCAGCCGGCCGGGCGCGCGCGCGCGAGAGAGAGAGAGAGAGAGAGATGCGCACTGCTCGGTATTGTCGAGGAGGGTGTTGCGTGACGCCTCGGGTACTGGCTGCCCGGCGGCCGCTGGCCCGGCGGCATAGAAGCGCCGCTGCAGCGAGATGGCCGTCAAGGCCACATCCACGAGGTTGGTGATGACGTCTGGGAACTGCACGACATCGGGCGGGGCATCGGCGGAGGCCGCCGGGGGGAGGCCGCCCGCCGGACCGTGCGCGGCAGCCTCTGCCATGG